AGAACTATAGCTTCTGCACCTGTTTTAAAGTTGGACATTAAATAAAAGTTGAAGCTCATGTTATGTAGAAGAAACTTTGTTTTTGGAGTATACCATGGATCGGCTCGGAACCAAGTCTAGCAGTGGCTCAAAGTTGGAACCTGCTGCTGATTTCAGCACTTAGAAATATTATAAGTCTAGAAATTCATTGACATCGGCATTGGCGTCTCGCGTTCTCCAAATTTCATTAAGCAACTTGACTTGATCCCAAAATAAAAGTTGGAACATACATCGGGAAGAAGAGCGTGCAAAAGGATGGCACTCGTTGGACCTTGTCTTGACCATCGATTTTTGGAGTTTGGTAATCGCTGTCAATGCATTGACACTTGCTAATTGGACGCTAATTAACTGCTGTTCCAAAGACCTAATGGATGTGACCCTTTAACCAAGTTTATAGACCATCCTGAGTAGAGCAACTTTGCTACCGGAGCCAAGTTCAGAATCCGCACATAATATGCCAAAAAAATGGACCCCAAGTCGGGCATAGAGACGCACGCCACGTGCTCGTTGAATTGTCTCCGTGGCAGCCATGCAGCAGCGCGCTTGCCCCATTGCTGCCGCGCGTCCGACCTCCGCGCCACGCGCCACCCTGCTCCCTGTGCCTCCAAATGCGAATGCCCGTGCTGCCCGAGCACTCACTCGCCTCCCCACTCTCCCTCCCTCGCTCTCTGGTGCTGCGCGCGCGCTCCGGGACGCGGCCGCCATGGTTGCCGCCGTGAGCTCGAGCTTGGCCGCCATTGTTCTTCCTCCTCCAAGCGTCTCGCAGCCCTGAATCCTCTGCCACCGGCTTCGCCTCTCTCTACTTGGCCTCGTGCGCTCCTTCCCGGCTTTCCTTCGCCGCCTGTTCGCTTGGCCGCCGGTGCCGTGGCCGCTGCGGACGCCTGTGCGCGCGGCTAGGCCAACCCGGCCCGCCTCCAGCCAAATTGAGCAGCCCAGCGTGTGCGCGCGGGACCCCTGGTCCTCCCTGCCACTCCGCCACCGCCGTCGATGCCCACAGCCGGCCGGAGCCGCGAGCCGGCCGCTCCCTTGCTCCACCGTCGTGAGGAAGGAGAAGGTGGACCACGCGCGGAAATAGAAGCTTCTCCAGGGGGTTAAGCGTTTGATTTATATTTTCCGCAGGGTCCCCGATGTAAGATTTAGATCTCTTTTTCTTGGATTTAGGCAGAATTGAATGATCCACTTTGAAAATTCATAGTAATTCATAGGAAATTCGTAAAATAGCAAATGAGGACTTTTTGGAATCCTTGTGAAATTATCTATGCCCTAGATCTATAATATGGCATGATTTAGTTTAAAGTTTTTGCTGTAAAAATCAATTTATGCAGTTAGGTTTGTAATACTAGTTGTGTCTTGTCTTTTTTATAACTGAAGTTGCTTTGCTCAAATAAATGAGAAATTTTTATGAGATGCTCATCAGGTGATTGTTGTTGTCTGGTAAAAATTTCATGAGTTTAGGATTTATATTTTAAGAGTTATAAAAATAACAAATGCCCTGTATTGCTTTGGTCCTACTCTGAATAGTTCTGCATGTTTGAATTAATTAGCTCAGTTAAGTTATGAATCATGACTTGATGAAAATACATGAGTTGTAGTACTTTTCTTAAGATTTCCAAAAAGTTAAATATCATGATTTTTGGCTAAGTAGATCTTGAGTTATACTTGCTTAAATTTCTATGGCTGTTTCTGCCCAAACCCAGACAGGGTTTCCTTGTTCTTACTGTGGGGCCTTCTTAATAGTATAATTAGCTTTAGGTGTTTACAACAAAGTTGTTTAGAATTTGCTAAGATTTCTAAAAAGTCTAGAATCACATTTATGGGACATGTATAACTCCATTTATAGCTGTTTAAAGTGGCATGTCAGTTTCTATCTATGTTTTGGACAGAGATGTAATTATTGGATTAGTTGACCCTTCTAACTGTAAAATCATCTTAATATGAGAATAATAAAGTTGTAGGTAACTTCCTAAGCTTTTCAAAAAGTTATGGTTCATATTTGTTGGAGGTCTAGAACTCTAGTTATGCTTCTCTGAAGTTCCTATCAGCTTTCTGTACCACTGCTGTTGGGTTGCATTTGCAGTTTTGCTTGTGCAATTATTTTAGTGGTGTAAATGATGTTTGCTATGGTTGTAGTGAATACAAAAGTTGTAGCAAATTTCATGATCTTGCTTGTGTTCAAATTGTAAGGTCATAGGCCAGATAGTGTAGGAGTTACATGACTTTTAAGTCTTTGGTCAGGTTTTAATTGTATTCTCAGCGGATCTGAAAGATGCTAGTGTTTGATCTAGTTAGGATTTGAAAGAGCTTTTGGTGATAATAACAAAGTTGTAGATAAGTCATGTATCTAGCTTCTGATAAAATTTGGTGTCATTTGGTCAAGTAGTTTAAGAGTTATGGCTGTTTAAAGTTGGGTTATAGAATTGATTGCTCTCTATCTTGTTTAGACCCGTTTCTGTAAATATATAATTTCGATCCACTTAACTTATTAATCATGCTGTGATGGTTATAGATGAAATGTAGAGAATTTCATAAGCTTTCCTAAATGTCTTGTTGCATGGCTATTGGATTTGTATAACTCTGGTTATGATCCAAACATGAAGCTGTTGTTTCCAGTCTAGAAATAGACATATGCTAGTTGTGGTTGTTTACTCCATGTGTTGCTAAGGGTGGCTTATACCCTTGTTGATGGTCAAGTTATGATACTTGTGACCTTGTTAAACTGGTGTCATGCTTGATGTGCTTGCTCTCTATAGTTAGTTGTGTGATGTTAGTTAAATAGCTATTGGTGTCTATGTCTTGCATAATCTTGTGTTTATCTTGAATGTTTATGTGATGCATCTTGTATTACCATTCTTCATATTCATGCACTTGCATCTTGTATCTCATCTAGGTGCGCTAGATGAACCACGTGAAGGACGTGATGTTGGAGCCGAACCCGAAGACGGTGTATGGTGGACCTATCCCGAAGGTGGAAGGACTGGACAAGTGCTAGGACGGGAGATGCTCACTTAGCGAGTGTCGTCTAACTGAACTGACTTGTGTCGGATCCCAGGCAAGCCTCGGAGCAATATAAGTCTCCTAATTTATAAAAGTAATTCTTTCTATATATATGAGTTTATATATTGTTGCATTAAGTTATAGGAGTTGATTGAAACCGTTGATGCATTTATTACTATCCTTGCCTACCTTATTACCTTGTTACCTTGTTAGGTTAGGATCGAATAACTGCTTAGCCTTGCTTAGACCGGTAGCGATCGGTGATATCCGGTCATGTACATTATAGGTGGTTACTGGAAGAATTTAGCTATGAAAAGAATGATATCCTGGAATTAACCATGTATGATGGATAATTGGAGACCGGACGGAAAAAGTTAGAGGCAACCAGACAGGGTTCTGGGGTGCTGTTAGTTTCTATCTGTGTCGATTAAGGACCGATCGTTGCTCGTCCCTCTTGTCATGTTGAACGCATGCCTCATATTTAGCTGGCCGAATAAAGTACTTTTCGACCACGAAGCTAGTGACACTATTCGAGCCGGGATAAACCCGGATTGGCAGACTGGTGCTGAAGGGGGTATGACGGGGACGCGAAGAGTGAGCCCAAGGTGTGTCCTGGCAGTCGGGCGGTCCCTGGGTAGTGCGGTCCCGGCTGTTATCCCACGGCTACTTGGAAAGTGTCATTGGTGATCTGTAGCTCACTTGATCGGTGAGTGTGGTTTATGTGAGGAATAAATCACCAGCTGGTTAGGAATCGATTCGAATCCTCATCGCTCCTGGATAGTGAGCACTTGACTCGAGCTACGACATCGTAGTAATTATTATGGAACAATGATGGTTATCTGGATGATATGGGATATGCTAAATCTAAATTGGTAACTGGATGTTATTGGTTAATCAAGTGATTGCTATATTATAGGTGCTTACCTAGATGGATAGGTTATAATAAAGATGATGCAAAGTACTTAAAATGGTTTATTCATGATAGCTTATGTTTTTCGCAAACGAGTCAGCTAGCCCACTAAAGAAAGCCTTGCATAATCCTTGGTGTCACTTTATTTCTGGTTTATGACGGGTAAATCTAGCTGAGTACATTCGAGTACTCAGGGTTTATCCTACCATGTTGTAGGTGAAGTTCTTGGCCTGCAGAAGATGGTGGCTAACCGCCGGTGGGCTCGGTGACTCTATATTTACTTCTCACCTATATGCTTTTATCTGAGGATGTCACTTATGCTAGCAATGTATTTGAAACTTATATTAATGTAATCATTTGAAAGCTATGTTGTTTTCTCTAATCGGTTTTAAAACCTAAATTTGTACTATTATTTGTGAACCCAATTGTAATATTATTTCCGCTGTAACTCTGCGTATGTGATGTGTATTTGCTTAATCACGCGATCTTAGTTGTGATGTTGATTTACCGAGGTCCTTCGTGACACTCGGCGGACTACCGGGTTTGTATAAGTGAAAGTATGCGCGTGTCAACGTGTTAGCGGGAACAGCCATACTTGATCTTATATAAATTAGACGGTTCTGTCACAAGCGGTTATATAAGCGGATAAGAGAGACTCGTGGGCATCGCGGCCCACCAACGGAGCCATGTGGACCGACGGACGTCCTGCACAAAGGATTACCATATAACTATTCAACATGAGAAGATTCTTGGGTTTTTTTAGGCAACTTCTTGCCCTCTTAATTACACTATTAACTTTGAATTTGAACAAGCAGGTTACTTTGAGCATTCGGAGATCTAGATATTCCCAAAAAAGAAAGAAATAAAGAAAAAAAATGGAGACAGAGGCCCAACGGCCACCGCTAATGTCGCCTCCTGCCTTTAAATACCTCTCTCACCTCCTATCCTCTCCTTGCAGTCATTCATTCCATCCCGTCATACACGCACCATTTCCTGAAAGACAAGGCCAAGATCGCCAGCGGTTTCTAAAACGAGAAAAGAAACAGGGGCGAGATCGATGAGCAGTGGGCAGTCGTCGCCGATGGAGTCAAGCGGTGGAGCATGTCCACATGGCGACGACGCCCCGGGGGCGAGCTCCTCCAAGAAGCTGTGGCACGGGATGCAAGCCGTCTACCTCGTCCTCATCAAGAAGCACCAGCCGAAGCTCGCCGCGCTCGGCATCCACCTGCACAGCCTCCTCTCCAGCAGCAAGCGCCACGGCCACCGCCGCCGCAGCAGCCTCGCCGCGCGGGAGCGCGAGGAAAACCCGGCGCTGATGTACCTGTCGTGCCGGTCCATGGACCCCGCCGCCGCGGTGGTGCACCCGTACCCGCGCGGCCACGGCCACCGCCGCGCGTCGTCGTCGTCGTCGAGGCACGCGGCCCCATCGCTGTCGTGCCGGTCCATGGACCCCGCCGCCGCCGTGTGCAAGTACCAGTACCGTCCCCGCGAGGTGGAGTTCAGCTGCAAGAGCACGCCAATGCACAAACGCCGGCGCGAGAATAAGCACCGCCTGCGCCTGCAGAGCCGCGCCGCCGCCGCCGACCAGGGACACGACCACGACCACCCGTCGTCGGAGCCGGAGCACTACTACGGCTCGGCCGCGGCGGTGACGAGGCTGTTCGCGCTCATGGACGTCGAGGAGGTGGCCGAGGGCGAGGCGGCGGACGTCGTCGGCTACTACGATGACGGCGATCTGGACCTGGACCTGGGCGCCGCGGCGGCGTGGCCGGCGCTGGCGGCGGTCGGGTCGGCGCCGCGTCAGGTGCGGATCACGGACTCGCCGTACCTGGCGAGGGAGGAGGACAACGAGGAACTGAGGAGCGCGGTGGACATGCGCGCCGACGAGTTCATCATGTGGTTCCACGAGCAGCTGCGCACGCAGCAGCAGCAGCGCAGCACGCGCAACTGGGTCAGATAAGATAGCGGTGCAGAAGCAGACCATTGCCTCTACTAGTCTTATGATTTTGTGAATGGTTCATGCATGCATCAATCGCATGGATTACGTATTAGATAAGGGTACATTCCTTGGAGATGCGCACTCATGAAACATTTTCGTACGGTAGTAGTACTTTTTTTTTGACAGTTTTTTGATGTATATGAGTTGCAGTGCTTGATTTTTGTTACCTTGAAGGCTTGAACACGACACTCCCTGAACTTGTTTGTCTTAGACTTGCTACTTCAGTTTTACATGTCCATTGCTGAGGGAGTTCAGTGAGCTAGGGCTAGGGTAGCTTGCTGGTTTTTGACTTGTGCTGCATAACTGAAAGTTTTGCACCTGTTTCCTTCCTTCCGGTGTTGTGGAAGAAAATCGCAGTTTGCAGTCAATTTTGGCCTATAAATGTTGATGTTACAGCAATGCCGTCCAAAATTTGCACTGAATTTGTGTCGACTTCAGGGTAATCACGTATGTTGATACGACACCACATATTATAACAAAAGTAAACGATAGTAAACGATACTCCTTCTCATATATAGTATCAAGCTACTTCATCCACCCAAAATGAAAACATGCCACCCTGTCTAAGATTCAATATCTGTCCCATATCTGCATATATCTTCCCTGATCTGGAGACTGATGCACATGATCTGTTATCACCTACTCCTAGTCCTAGTACTAAAATCTGAATATACTTTGTCAGGTAAATGGTACCATGCATGAACGAGGATAGCATGGTACTGTATCTTTTTCTCATTCATGGCAGTACCTTGGGTAAAAAGTAATCATCTTTCTGTATGGGAAGAGGCGGAAATATCAGTAGTAGGATGAAATGATGGCCAATCATGATCATAGATCATACTGGTATCTACACTTCTACATCAAGTGGCAGCATGTGTTTCTGCTGAAAGGAAGTCACTGTCTCCGTAGATTATTCATTATTTTCCGATCTGTGATTCCTAACCGGTGCAGTTAATACACTAACATTTCCGTCGCAATTTCATAAGAAGTTTATCTCCGTTGCTTTCTCTGATTCGTGACGAGTTGAAAGTTCACGGCATAATGGTCCGTGGTTTATTCGTTTGCTCCTTCATGAAGAAACGAAGGAGCTGATGATAGCTGCTTTATTTGGGCCGTCTGTCTTAACTTGCACAGTGAGTGACCTGCTCTTTTTTTTTTAAAAAAAATACAGAGGATGAGATAAACGTCTCATTTCCGTACTGCCGATCAGAGATAACCAGTTAAACGCGAACTGATAGTACTTCCGTTTAACTAAAACGTCTGCATTCCCGACTGCATTTAATCTCTAGCAGTTCTCTATTCCCGTGAACTTGTAACATTTCTGCTTGTATGCTGTTGTCCTGCACTTGTTTTGTTTATAGGATTCGTACACTGCTTGATGACTAAACAGCAATTTCAACAGGGAAAAATTGCTTCGCGAACAGATGCAGGTTTCCATGCCCGTCTTCCCCACTCTTCACACTGGGAAATTGCTTGCTTCGTAAACAGATGTAAGTTTCCACTGCTCCATGCCCGGGTTTCCCAGTCCGCAGCCTAGCAGTTAGTTCCTGACGATGAAGCTGATGGTGAGTCCTCCTTGAGAGTCTATCAGAATTCATTCCGAGCTTATCACGAAGCAGACGAGATTTAACTCTGATGGTTCTGCCGGACCTACATTATCACCTGCAGAAGCAAACTGCAAAGAGACCATCTCAACCCCGTCCATCGCCAGGACCACAGCCCACATGGAGGAAGGGAGGGAGAGGTCTGGGAGCGAGTAGACTAGCACCACCAGTTACCATGGCCGTCGGCCGTCGCCCACACGTCGCGTCAACCATCGCAGCCGGGTTGAATTGCCGCGAAATCATTGTCGCTAGCTATCGCCCCACAGCATTCATTTCGTTTCAGAGACGCACCACGAAAGCTCAGGCATCGTTCAACCTTGGCTGCCTGAGCGCGCGGCCGGCCAGCAGCAGCGGGTCGTCCCGGAGAGAAACCATGACAGCACGGGTCGGGTAGGCACGCGCCGGTTAGGTGCGACTTACGGTGCATGTGTGGTTAGGAATGTGATTAGGAAACGTGACGCTGGTTGCTGGAGCCCAAACACAAATCTTCCAATAGAAATAGACGCATTTGTTGAGGTGAGCGATGTTGATGACGCCTATCAATTCGACAGGCGGCAATCAGAAACTTCAGAAGATTATGTTTTTTTCCAAGTCACACATTAACTAATATAAGTACGCCTAATTATTGTGTTCACAGTATTACAATAACCAGTCTTCTTTGATCAACAGCGGATCCTGTGTTCCTGAGTGAGATGGTGATAGTTGACAGTGAGATTCGATGTACGAGCTAAGTGTAGCTCATTATACATAGATGAGACCAGTAAGAGAAATTCGATGTACGAGCTAAGTGTAGCTCATTTATATAGGTTTTGTGGTGGCAACTGTCCACCTGAGTTAGTTGACAGCGAGACATATTTGGTAACTCTTAATCTCGAAATCTATGAGCGTAATTGTCGAGGACCAATACTAGGGTACCCGAAGAGGAGAAGCTAATGGTCATCAACATTGATTCATTCGAGTAGTCAAGAGCGTGACTACAACTCTAACCGACCCCTAGGTGCACGGGCTCCGCTTCACCCGACCCTTTGGGTGTGGGCTCCATCTCGCCCGACCCCGAGGCCGCGGTTTTTGCATCGACCGACCCCTTGGGTGCGGGCTCCGTCTCGCCCGACCCCAAGGCCGCGGTTAACGTCTCACCCGACACCAAGGCCGCGGGCTCCGCCTCGCCCGACTCATTGGGGGCAGGCTCCGTCTCACCCGACCCCAAGGCCGCGGTTTCCGCCTCGCCCGACCCCGAGGCCGCGGTTTCTGCCTCGCCCGACCCCGAGGGTGCGGGCTCCGTCTCGACCGACCCCTTGGGCTCGCGCTCTATCTCGCCCGACGGGGACCCATACCGCCGCCAACGACTCTAGGTCCAAGCGTGTGGGCTTGGATCAAAATTCTGACACCAGGGAAGAGACTAGCATGCCTCGATGTAACCCGTGGCCATGATGGGCCATGACGGGCCATACCTGAGGGCTCACATCAAGAACAGCATCGGGTATGCCGGTGCTGTTCTGCCTAACCCTCGTACGAACGATGACATGCGCGTCAGTTCACCACGACGTCCGCCGGGACGGGATGGAACGCCATGACCGGAAGACGACGCCTGCGCATGGCGCTAGTGACGGGCAGGGCCGCGACGTGGAGCCGTCCCTGTTGATGTCTACAGGATCGGCGGGACCCGCATGAAGGAGAAGAAGGACCCGGTGATCCTGGAAGCCTTCTTCTCTCTCATTCTTCTCCTTTTTCTCCATTGTAACCCGCGCTTTCCCTTGGCCTATAAAAAAGAAAGTGGGACACCCCATGAAGGGGATCGACCCATCGAGACCCGATCGATCTAGATCCGCACGAGATTAGAACACGAGATAAACACACAAGAACACGACACGAACACACGGCTGAGCAGCGACTGAGCTCTCAGCACCCGTTCACTTCTTCCATCAGAGACTTGGGATCCTTTCCCTCTCTCGTCCGTTTGTAACCCCTACTATAAACTTTTAGTTCTAGTAACACGAGCAGCAGCAACGAACTGGACGTAGGGACTTTCTGCCTGAACCAGTATAAACTTCATGTCCTCTAAGCACACCATCCGAGCCCGACGAGCAATACTAGAAATTTACTCGTCCGTGGTAACTCGAAACATTGACAGTTGGCGCGCCAGGTAGGGGCCTTTTACGCGTCTCGACGTCCACACCAGGCCTCGGATGACTAGTCATGGCGTCAGCTGGGTCCCGGGCGCGTACATGCGCTTCGGGAACATGGACTTCATTGTCACAACGGAGGGAGAGTTGGCACAGGCTCCTGCCGCCGTCAAACCTCTCCACTCTGCTGGCCTCGACGCGATCATCGAGGCGCTTGAGGAGCTGCAGCTGCACGCACCGAAGGCCCGGGACCCCCAGGAGCGACCAGCAACTTGGCTTCGATTATGGGAGGCTAGAGCGCCAGCTCGGCGCCTTCCTAAGATCCCGACCGTCCCGGGAGGACCTGTGCCACCTCACGTTCTCATTCGCCAACGTCATGACGTAGCTTGCCAGAGGAGAGCTAGTCTCCCTGGAATACCTCATCCGGAGCGCCCCGACAGCGCTCCCGTCCGGTCTCCGCAACGCCGCAGAGACTGTTGGCCACCTTGCAGCGCAACGCACGCCTCCATCCCCCGCGAACGATGAGTTCGTGGGGATGACCGAATATGTCGCGGAATGTTTCCACGACCTCCCCGCGGGAGAATCGGAGTCGCCCTCCAGCTCTGACTCCAGCAGGGGGAGCCATCACCCCTCTCATGAATGTTTTATGGCCGGTACCCCCGAGGGACACGTCGAAAGCATCCATGAGGGAGAGGTTGCCCCAACGAACGACCTGCGGGTTAGAGGAGCTGAAGGCCCGGCACCAAGAGCTCGAGGAAGCATGACTCTAGCTCGAGTAGGAACGCGCGGAGCTCGAGCGCCACGGAGATGGCGGGCGTGCGCGCGTCGTGGCCCGTGACATGAATTGGAGGATCATCGAGGATGATGAAGCCCTCCCACACTTCACCCAGACAAGCCAGAACATCGCTTCTGCGGTGGCCTTGCCTCGGGGGCTTCTAGGGCCTACAACACTCGAGGATCATTGGGCCCATCATAAGATTCGCACGCTACTCGAGCGTGCGGCGGCGCGGTAGTCTGAGAGCTCGTTGTCCCGACAACGCGAGCTCGACGCCAGCTAGCGTGCACCCTTAGAGCAACCCAATAGGGATGTGTCAGTCCACCAAGCGCAGCAAGGTGGTAGGCCGCGCGCTGCGGTCCCGGTGCATGAGCGTCTTGGCCTCCACCGTGACGAGCGCGATACCCTCGACGCCCGCAGGCGTACCCGCGGCGATGCGAGGGAGGAGGCTAGCCGCGA